AATAAAAAACATTCTAACCAACCCTAACCAAATAACAAACATTCTAACCAACCCAAACCAAATAACAAACATTCTAACCAACCAAAACAAAATAACAAACATTCTAACCAACCCTAACCAAATAACAAACATCCAAACCAAACCTAGCGAAATAACAAACATTCTAACCAAACCTAACGAAATAACAAACATTCTAACCATCCCTAACCAAATAACAAATATTCTAACCCAATAAAAACATTCTAACCCAATAACAAACATTCTAACCCAATAACAAACATTCTAATCCAATAACAAACATTCTAACCCAATAACAAACATTCTAACCCAATAACAAACATTCTAACCAAATAACAAACATTCTAACAGATCAAACTACTTTATACCAGACTACACTGTGTTAACAATATCAGACCAAACATACCAAACCAAGCCAAACACCAGATCAATCTACTCTATACCAGACTACACTGTGCAAACAATATCAAACCGAACATACCAAACCAAGCCAAGAACCAATCTACTCCATACAAGACTACACTACGCTAACAATATCAGACCAAACATACCAAAACAAGCCAAGCACTAGATCAATCTACTCTATACCAGACTACACTACGCTAACAATACCAGACCGAACATACCAAACCAAGTCAAGCACCAGATCAATCTACTCCATACCAGACTACACTACGCTAACAATATCAGACCGAATATACCAAACCAAGCCAAGCACTAGATCAATCTACTCCATACCAGACTACACTACGCTAACAATATCAGACCGAACATACCAAACCAAGCCAAGCACCAGATCAATCTACTCTATTATGGTTTGTTTTAAAAGACCACCCAGACTCAGACCAGTATAGAAAACCTCTCACAAATCTTTTTAAAACGAAGCAAAAGTGTTGAAACTGTGTCTACACTAAGCAGTGAATAGAATACCAAGCCAGCTTGATAAGAAGTATTTAATCAATGTCTTGGTTGAGACTGAAAACTCAGACTAAGAAAGGATATTGCGAATCTCTAACATTTTCTAATCATGACAACACTTTACAACCGGAGGCCCAGGACGTACAAGAAAATAAGATTGAAAGGATACTTACGTACACGTAGTGGAATGGATGGTTAAACAAAATCTAATTAAAGGCTCAAACATAGAATTATACCCCCCCCCCCTCGTCCCCCGGGTTTTAGGACTACTAAAAAGAGAGAAGGGGGAGGATGATATAATCAAATTAATGTTATTTGATATATATAATATGCAAAATACGATGAATCCCCCTGAGTTTGATCCTGAACATGAATTCAAGTTCTTCTTATTCCTCTTTGAAAAAATGAAACCAGCAATGGTACAGTCCTATTCTGGTTAAACAAGTATGCAGTCATGTCTCTAGATTAAAAATACAACGTTTTACCCCCCCCCCCCCCCGTCATCCATACCCTCTTCCCTTGGCCCCGAATAGTGGGAGCAGGAGAGGGAGGATTTTAAAGTTTAATGGATTTTTTAAAAGGTATCCCAACAATATTTAAGAATATTGTAAAAATTTAATCAAAATAAAATATTAAAGTAAAAAAGCTATCAAAACTCTTAAACAAACCGACAAAAAATTTCACTCTAAAACTACTTTTAAAATAAAATAAAATTATTAGATTGAGTGGTTAGAAGTTGTTGAGCTTAAAACTTTCCATTCGTTAACTTTACAATTTCTAGAGAACAGTTAATTAAAATTAATTTGTAAAGTTAAATCTGAATAAAAGATTTTATTTTAATCTTTTGAGAAAAATTGACATTTTTTTAACGGTTTTATTTTGGTTTAGCTTTATTTATTGTTAGCAAAATGGAGGATACTAATATTACTATGATTTATATTAATTTGCCCATCCTACATATAGTTAAATAATAAGGTTTAAAGGGACTGTAAAGGAAAAATGAAAGGGGGTATAGGCTGAAAGATATTAATTTTAGCTCTTGATCGCGACCCATGAAAGTTATATCTGATGTTCCTGTCTCGAGAAATTGATATAAAACTGGGTCAAATTCATACAAAAATTCATATATATGCAGCAGAACTCCCACAAATGAGAGTGCAGTATACTGGTCACGTGTCTCTGTCTGTATCACGTGACCAGTATACTGCACTACCAATGGTGGGAGTTCTGATGACGGCATACGTACTAAAAATAATATTATCAATTATATCTATAAAAAAAAAATATATAAATAATAACTGGAGAAAACCTTAGTGATCTTTGTTTTCAGATTGGTTGCATATTTGCTGAATATGATCTGTTTAAACCTACCATTTTATACTAAATTGTATATATATGAATTTTCGTATACATTTGACACAGTTTTACATCAATTTCTCGAGACAGGAACATCAGATATAACTTTCATGGGTCGCGATCAAGAGCTAAAGTGATTAGCTTTCAGCCTATACCCCCTTTCAATTTCCCCTTACAGTCCCTTTAAGTTATAAGGAGATATTGATACTTGTTTATATCTTTGTATATTTGGCGTGTGAGTATCTTCGTGTTTGTGTCTGATGTCAATGTCAATGAAAACGAGAAAATATTTTAAATCGCCGCTGCTAGATACAAAGGGTTTGCAGAAAGATAAAAAATGATCTCCTAGAAGTGTTATGTATCGTTCAATAAATGATGAACTTCTCCCCCCCCCCCCTCAACATCTTAGAAAAATCTTCCTTTCACAATTTATCTCCAATGACCTTTCTTTGCAAATACTTTTGCCAATTATCCTTGCCAAAATCCAGAACAACTCTTCTTTAATGCAAAAACAAGGTCATGCAGTTTTAAAATATCCAAAATCATTAAAAAAAATGGAGTTACATGAATAACCATATAAGAAACGTTTGCAAAAAAATGTCATTTATATCTATTTAGATACTTATAGAGATCTTATTTTTATTTTTTACAAAATCTGAAATGTTTTTATATTTCAAGTAAATCACATCTTTTGTTCTACTTTCTACAAGACTAAGAAAACCTTCTAGAAATATATATCTAATAAAGGAAGTTAATGCTTCTTATTATCTTCTCCTCTCTTAGTTTCTTTCACAAGTTTCTAATACATTAATATTCGGGATTCTCTGAACAAGACTAATATCCATGAGAGGATGTTAATAAATGTTTTAAAACTTTGCATGGATTTTATCAGATATCTGATATATATGTTTTCTAGAATGACCCCTCCCTTCCCTAGTATTAACTAGTAACAATTTTAATATTTAAATGTTGCTTTTCAAGCTGACATTTTTTCTTCAACATTTTAGAACCAAAAATGTCGGGGATTTTTCTGTAAACATTGATACTCTATAAAGAAAAAAAGTCGAAATTTTTTTCCAGTCAACAATTTAAATTTCGACCAGCTTCCTAAACTTTCCTTGGGATCATTTGAGTTGCCACAAAAAGTTTGAACCCGATTAGTTCAGACGTTTATTTAATACAGACAAACAAATAGACAAAACAACTTTATATTTATAATAGCTTGGGAACCCAGCACTGCCAAAGTTACTAAAAGTTACTCCCGCCGTTTACCCTCAGAACCAAGCTAAGAACATTCACGTGGGTCTCCCGAGTTCCCCAACCAGAATTTAAGGCAAATCGGTTTAGGGGTTCCTGAGTTATGATCGGACAAGAAGAGATTAAAACTTTATATATATAGATATGGTTTTATATTCTTCTTCAAATTAGTTTTCAGTAAAAATTACTGTTCTTAAAAAGTATCAGTACAACAGTAATATGTTTAACTTTTATTTTCTTAATCAAAGCTTAGAATTTTTATATTGAATATATTTCATGAATATATTGCCACTATATTAAATTTTGGTTTATTCGTTTCAGAATTTGTTTTCGATCGACAGACAAGAAATCTTAATTCCATGATAAGAACCATTAACCCTGGATGACCATGCAGTTTAGTTCATTATCAACAGCGCTGATGCAACCCAAAGATTAGAGTTTAAGTATGTGCAACTGGTAACTAGGAGGAAACGGATTAAAAAAACAAGATAAAAAAACTTAACAACTATGGGAGAGTCCAAATTCGAAAGTTGGGCTTGTCTTTCGATCGAAATGGTTTTTTCAATGTTGAAAAAAAAGATCACTTGACTTACTCTTAAAAGGAGAAAACTCCTAGACATGGTTATTGAGATGAGAGTGCAGTATTGTAGAACAAATTTTCAGGATTCATTTCAGACATTGTTACGGTGCATAATTGTTCAGCAAAAGCGAAAAACCTGTTCTCAAAATCATCTCTCCAAAATGGACAATCCAGGATGATTTTAAAGATTGAAATTACGCTTTTGTTGAACAATTACACCGTAAATAGGTCTCAAATTTCTCCTGAAAAATTTCATCCACAATACTTCACTCTCAGTTGAACTTATATATTTCTAGCCGGTCTCTCCCAAAGTCAAATACCCAGTATTGTCTTTCATGTGAAAGAGTTTATAAAAATTTGAAAAGAATTTAATTTGCAAAGGTAAATAGAAAATCCAATTTTCTTTAGATCTTGCACACATTAAATTAGAGATACAATTCCACCACACAACATGGGAAAGAGGGAGGTGGGAAAGATGGGAGTTATTTAGAACCAATTTGCAAACAGACATTTTCCTTCATTCAGGTAGAAATCATTGTAATCGATTATTTCAGACTCAGTCATTCGATTGAAATTAATCCTGTAAATCAACCCAAGACAATTTTGGCGACGAATTGTTCTTTTTGTGATTTGGAGAATTTAGTAAATTTTAGAATCCTTTGAAATATTTGTATTAAACCTTATCCCCATGCTTGTCTAAATAGATACTTGTTTTTTAGTATTCTCACTAATTTCATCAATTTTAGTTATTATCCACAATTTGAATAGTAAAATATTATTATATGTTCAAAACTTCACTAGATATTAGAACAGATTACTCGCTTCAAACTCAAATCTAAAAGAAGGGGGGGGGGGAGGTTTATTTACTCACCCATATCCTCCTCTTCTTCACTATCCATATCCTCATCCTCTGAGTTCCCCTTAGCTCCGTCCCTCCTCTGCTGGAGACCACTAGAATACAATTCACATCTTTGGAGTTAAACTCATCTATATAAATATATATGAAGTAGTAATCTCTTTTTGTATCTTTGATTGTTTGGATGTCAGATCATAAATCATGAACCCCCGGACCGATTTGTCTCCAATATTAATTGGAGGAATCGGGTAGAACTATAGGAAAGCTCATCCAAGTTGCGGGGGAGGGCTTATATAGTGAAAACTCCAGGCAAAGCTGGGTTCCAATGCTAGTCCATAAAGATTTTATGGAATTCTATGTTCTAACAAAAATCTTTGTTTGAAAAAGAAAAGGTCTATGACATCTGTTTGCAAAGATATCAGAGTTTGTGGCAAGAACTCCGTTCCTTTGACATTCTAACACAGCCCGGTTTCTATTTTCATCTGAAACACACTTATTAACTATTAGGGAACTAATAAATTGCCTCACACTCTAATTTCTCATGCCCACACAAACCCTAGCAATCTGATGACGTAAACCTTTAATATTTCAACCTTTAAGTATTTAATTTAAAGCCGGCCTCAAAGTTTTAAATATTAAAGGTCTACGACACAAGGTTGCGAAGATATAGGGATAAGAAAATTAAAGTTTTAAGTGAGTGAGTGATTAAGAATTTTGTGTCAGAAAACAGGCCTCCCTATTTAAAAAAATGGCAGAACCCCCAAAACATGGACTCATTCGGTTTGGCCAACCAGACAAGACAAAAACATTTTTATATTGATATAAATTTTAAAAAATTTGATCATTGTTTTTCAGTTTTCAGTTTTTATCGATATTATGCAACACAATCAATTCATTATTCTTTAGAAACATAAAATTCATAAACTCATATTTTAACGAGGTTTTATTCTTTTATACTTTTTCATTCTTCTCTTTTAATTTACTTATTCAATATGACTAGTGACTAGTGCCTAATGAAAACGATGACGAGATTTTTTCATTTATTTATTTTAATAATTTTATACGTTTCATTATTTTTTATATTTCAAATTATCAGTTGATTAAATATTCAATGAATTCATGCCTCTTTTCATTTATTCATTCCTTCTTTTCAGTCATACATTAATTTCAGTTTTCATTCTTTCATTACTTTCTACCGTTCATCCTTTCCTTTCTTTCATTCTTTCATATACTTTCTTTAATTCATCCAGAATTTCATCCTTTCATGAAATCTAAATCGATTAACTGCAAATAATCTAATAAAAATTTGTAAAAATATTCGTCAAATTTTGACATCTGAAATATTTTAACCTAGTTGACTTAATGCATTTATCTTGTAATTTTGTCAATTTCAAAACCAGAAAAAAAAAGTTTTTCTTATTTGCAGTTCAGGGTTTTAGGTTGGTTTTAGGTCGGCGGCATCTTTGTACTGAGTTATCAACAAAACACAAAACTTCAGAAACTATGATAATGTCATTATCCACTGATACAGTTCTGATTAAGACAAAACTAAAGTATATTGTGGTTTATAGGTTCTGTAATTATTGGATAACCCTTTACATTGAATAATTGTGATTACATTTACAAGACTAGAACTCATCAACTTATGAAAAATTCAAAATGTTTACAATGATCATATTATCACATACGGGGGGGGGGGGGCGGAAGGACCTTCTTTTTCGAGATTTCAGAATAGCTCCTCAATAGCAATTAAAGGAATGAAAACCTAGTGCAAAACAGGAAAAATATCTATCTTAAAAAAGAATTTGTTCCTAAACCTGGATGTTTTTGTTCCGAAATAAATCTAGCACCCCCCTCACTTAAATCCTGAATAACCGCTCCTGATCACATAATCAAAATACTTTAGTATTTACAATAATTTCAGAGGTTCCAAGAAAACAAAAGGTTATTTAAACTAATTGTAAATTGGTCTATTTTAATGGCAAACAAATAAAGGTCATTGTTAAATATTTGTCAAAGTTTTTGCCACAAACTCAGATTTTCTCATCCCTATTTCTTTACAACCAGATGTCGTAGACCTTTGATATTTCAAACTAAAATTCTGTTAGATCAAACACTCAAAGTTTGAAATATCAAAGTGTTATGCCATCAGGTTGAATAAATATAGGGATTAGAAAATTTGAATTTGTGGCTAAAACTCAATTCCTTAAATAGAATTTTCAAGGCTTTAAAGAAAAATGAGAAATGCGAAAAATTCCAATCTATAATTTTAAAGTTAATTAATAATGATTTTATCTGAATCTTTATATTTATCATAAAACCCATTTTTTAATTCTTGTTCGATTTAATTTAATTTATCTAAAATCGAGGGTAGAGCAGGGGGTGGAAACGTCATGTATGTGTGTCTGTACCATAAAAAGAGTGTGTGTAAGTGATAACGAACCAAAGGCGTGTACTGTAGGTATATACATACAGTACATAAGAATCTAGGTGTACAGTCTAGGAGAGTACATTTGTTTATAATTGTTAATTGTTTGCTTAAAACTTTAATATAAAGTTTAATATACATGTAATATTTTATTTATATTTAAGCCAAATTTTCATGTCATGTTGTGTGTCTGTATCAAAAGAGTGTGCGTGTGTGATAACGAACTCGTCTGCAAAGCAGTGCGACTGGCTTTCTCATGCCTGACCAGCGCCATTTCCCTTCCCTTTATTCTTATTCCCTGGAGTAGACATGCTTTAAAGAAAGGCGGGGTGAGGCGGAGGAAGGCAGGAGGCACGGAGGAAGGTAATAATATTTAAAGTGAAATTGAATATCCCTGGTTTTGCAAGATCCAATAATGGTTTACAGAAAAGTTGGAAGAAAGATTCCGCGAACATTGTTTTCAAATAATATTATTTCCCAAATAAAACTGCATAATATAAGAAATAGAAAAATATATGAACAAAGGAGAAAAAAGTATGCTTTTCTTAATAAAATAAAACAGTATTAAGAAATAACTTTTGATTTTTAGGAAACCATTTACCTATTTCATGATTTCATGTTATAAATGTTTTGATTTTTAGGAAACCATTTACCTATTTCATGATTTCATGTTATAAATGTTTTGATTTTTAGGAAACCATTTACCTATTTCATGATTTCATGTTATAAATGTTTTGATTTTTAGGAAACCATTTACCTATTTCATGATTTCATGTTATAAATGTTTTGATTTTTAGGAAACCATTTACCTATTTCATGATTNGGGGGTCTAATTTTCGTTAAATTGAAAAATGAGCAATTATGTATTCAGAATAAGTGTGTCTCTGAAATCAATGTGTAATATCTAGTAAAGGAAAAATTTGCAATTTGTAACAAATGTAATCAGTTGTAAAAAACTAGGGTTCTTACATTTCAACTTTTAATAGTGGATCTATCTGTAAGCATCTTTGTACATTTTAAATCAATAACAAAAAAGTTCGTGGATTTACTAATATTGTTTCGCGCATTTTTAAAATTTAACAAAAATCAAAAACTTTTAACACAAATTTTTGTAATTTTGAGCATCCTTGAACCTTCCCTGGGGTCATGTGAGATCCAACACAAAATTTGGGCCCGATCAGTTCAGCAGTTTTTACGTTTATTGGATACAGACAGACAAACAGACACCCAAGCAAAATATATATAAAGAAGTATGAAATGCTCCAGAAGAAAAATTGAAGAGGATTTTTAAAACTGTTGGTCAATAGTTTGAATGTTTTACCAATAACTTAAACCAATTTCAATTAACAAATTGTCAGCTCTGAAAGTATAAGTTACTCTAATGAAGAACCCAATCTCTGCTAAAAGGTCTAGTACCTGAAGTACTCCACGGCGAAGTCCAACAAGTCCGGTGGCTGAGACACGAGGTAGTGGACTGTAAAGTCTAGCAGAAGCTCCTAAAAATAAATGTCCTCTAATTTTCAAAAAATCGACTTAAAAGTAATACAGAGAATTTTTGGAAGGGTTTTCATACATAAATACATTATAAGTCCTTACTATTTTAACGTATAGATTTGGTTTGTAATGTAAAAAATAAAAACTACTGAAACATTGGTGCAGATTAGTAGGGATTGTGGTTTTTAGACCTAGCAGACAGAAATACAAGATTATGCCAACTTAATTAATCATAAAATATTAATTGATTGGAAAATTCCATTATCGTACACTAGAATATACAGGTATTTAAATTCTTTAGAATAAGAAATTTAATTTTTTTTATGTTAACCATTACATTATGTTAACCATTATTTTTCCCAATAGTTTAATTTTAACTTTAAAAAACTAAAATGAATTACCCTTAATGGTTTGAATCTTGAACAAGCCNCCCCCCCCCAGGATTCAATTTTAAACTGGCTTTTTGTACGCAGGAAGATTCTATGATATTTTAGATGAATCCAGATTTCTAGAAGTAAAAATTCCAAACTTATCAATATATTTTTTAAAATCTGAAAAAATTCTAAATATCTGTTAAACCTTATTGAATGAAATTTCAAACCTTTATCGAAATTTGGGATTGAAAGTTTATAAAGTCTTTAAAAATACTTAAACTCAATATTCCCTGAAAAACATTCTTTTTTTTCACTATAAACTTTAGAATTCTCTGAAACGTGAAATTTTCTGAAATCTTCAACAATGAAGAAATATGTAAACTGTATGAAAAGTAAGAATTCTGTGTTCACAAAGGTATATAATTGCAACGTTGGCCTGCAGTGCCCTGGAGAAATACTGTTAACGTCCTAATATTGAATTACACAAATCTCGGTCAGAGGTCCCAAGAAAAAAAACCTTTTTTAAAAACTGTTTTAAAAATAGAACTTTAATTTTTAATTGATGATTAAAACGTTCATTTTCAGAAAACTATTGTAATATTCAATCAGTTCTTTATTTCTTTCACAAAAATCAAGAATTACAATATTTAATAGTTATTCATTTTTTTTCTCAATTTAATATTTTTTTTTCTCTGTTGATTTCTGATTGATGCTTTACAGTATACAGTATACAAGTCAAGGATAAGCAGAATTACCTGGTGATCCATATCATATTAAATTTCACGCATGTCACCGATTTACTAATTCTTTTTCAGCTAAAAGATTAGGTGTAGTGTATTGAGTTAGGAATAGGTTAGTTTTCATAGAGGGTTAGGGTAGGGAATTAATTAAAAACTAAGGACGTGAGTAGGCTAGTAATAAAAAGGAGCAGGGTTATTTTTCGTACATAATAGGGTACAAAGGGTACATTTAATTTAGGAGTAGAGCATTTTTCATTTAGGGGTAGGATAGTTTTCATTTGAGCATAGGGAAATTTCATTTAGGGGTAGGTTAATTTTCATTTGGGCGTAGGATAGTTTTCATTTGGGCATAGGGAAGTTTTCATTTTTTAGCAAGGTTATTTTTCATCATACATAGGGTACAAAGGGTACATTTTTTTCGGAGTAGATTAGTTTTCATTTTGGGTTAGAGTAGTTTTCATTTAGGAGTAGGGTAGTTTTCATTTGGGCGTAGGATAGTTTTCATTTGGGCATAGGGAAGTTTTCATTTTTTAGCAAGGTTATTTTTCATACATACATAGGGTACAAGGAGTACATTTTGTTTCGGAGTAGATTAGTTTTCATTTGGGAGTAGGATAGTTTTGATTTAGGCATAGAGTAGTTTTTATTTAAGAGTAAAATAGTTTTCTTTAAGGAGAAGATAATTTTTCATTAAGGAGCGGGGTAGTTTTCATTTGGCCGTAGGATAGTTTCAATTTAGGAGTAGAGTAATTTTTATTTAGGAGTAAAGCAGTTTTCATTTGGGAGTAGAGTATTTTTTATTAAGAAGAAAAGTAGTTTACATTTAGGATTAGGATAATTTTCATCTAGGCGTAAGATAGTTTTCATTTAGGAGTAGAGTAGCTTTCATTTGGGGGTAGGATAGTTTTCATTTAGGACCAAGGTAGTTATTATTTTAAATTAGTAGAGTTGTTTTCATTTAGGCATAAGGTAGTTTTCATTTAGGAGTAGAGTAGTTTTATTCAGCACTAAAGTAGTTTTCATTTAGGCGTATGACAGTTTGCATTTGTAGTTATGATTTTAAGTAGTGTAGTTTTTCATAAAGGAGTACGGTTATTCTTAATTTAGGATAGTGGCAACCGTGAAAAACGGTGGAACGATTGTTGTCTTGGTTCTTTCTATATTTTGTAATTTGGAGAAATAACAAAGATGAAAATTATTTTACTGATTTCTGGTTACCTTTGTATCCTACAAGGTTCTTTTTTCTTATTTTTTATTTCCGAGAAGGTGGGAGGAGGGAGGGAACCCCGGACGCCATGAGCCTCCGCTATGCAGACACGAGCCTCCCAGAGTTGTTAGGCAGACCAAGCCTCCGCTTTGCAGAAATGAGCATGCGCAACACATCAAAATGTGCCTGTGTAATACAGGAGGTTTTTTTTAAACTTGTGTTTTAAGTTTAAAAAAAAGATTTTTTTTGAAATTTTTAGACTTAGTGGCATGAGAGGCTTCTCAAAGATTAGAAGTATTTATTAATTATCATAAATAGTTATATATAAATAATTATGACTAATAAAGTGGTATCTAAAACTTTAAACATTTTTTTACACGAAAAGGAAAATATTTAGATAAAAATTTCAATTGAATTTTATTTTATCTTTTATAATCTTTGATTTTAGCGATTCCTTTTTTTGAAGTTCAAATTAAATCTAAAAAATTTGTATTTATTATGTAAATCTTAACATTTTTCAAAAAAAGGTATGGTTTAAATCAGAAATATTTCTCCAAATATCTTCCTTTCTGCGTAAGAAATGTTTAAAGTTTAATATAAATCTTATAAACCACTTCATGAGTCCATACATGTTTCTAATCATGACAATCAATGAACAACTCTAATCTTTAGTAAAATTCTTATGCCAAGTCAAAAAAAATTGTTAAAAGTTTTCATCCCTCATAAAAACCAAGATTTAAAAAAGCTGTGATGTATGGTGGAGGCTCGTTTACTGCATAGCGGAGGCACGGTCTGCATAGCATAGGTTTTGTCTGCATAGTGGAGGCTCGGTCTGTCTAGCGAATCTGGGAGGCTCGATGTCTGCATAGCAGAGGCTCATGGCGTCCGGGGGTTCCCTCCCTAGTGGGAGTTTAGTACTTTTGTTTATCATCTTTAAATTTTAGTTATAAATGAAAATTGAAAAATATATAAGGTTGTTCGAGCCTCAACAGTTTTTCATTAAAAAAGTTTATTAAAATTCTTAGAAATCAACAAAAAATATTAAAAACGAGATTAAACAAATTGTCAAATTTCATATTAAAAACAACGCACCAACAGATTTTTAATCATGTCCTCAAGCTCTGTTTGTGTATTGTGTACTGTATACTGTGTACAGTGTACTGTGTATTGTGTACAGTTTACTGTGTACTGTGTACTGTATACAGTGTACAGTGTACTCTATACAGTGTACAGTGTCCTGTGTACAGTGCAATCTGTACAGTGTACTGTGTACAGTATACTGTGTACAGTGCACTCTGTGCAGTGTACAGTGTAATCTGTGTACAGTGTACTCTGTGTGCAGTGTACTCTGCGTACAGTGTACTCTGTGTACAGTGTACTCTGTGTACAGTGTACTCTGTGTACAGTGCACTCTGTGTACAGTGTACTCTGTGTACAGTGTACTGTATACTGTGAACTGTATACTGTGTACTGTATTCTGTGTTCTGTATACTGTGCAGTGTGCACTATATACTGTGTAATGTATACTGTGTACTTTATACTGTGTACTGTATACTATATATACCTGAAGTTCTGGAGAAACAGTAAAGGATGGCGGGGTAGACATCTTCTCAAAATTCTGAACCGTTGTCTTAATCCTGGAAAATTTTTTTTTTTAATTTAAATTTTTCATTTTATCCTAGAGTTCTTTCCCTATTTTTTTCATTATATATTAGAATTGGTACTAGAAAATGATCTGAAATAAACGTAATATATAAATGTTCAAGGAAGCCTTTCATATTGTTCAAGTATGTTTAAACAGACATATAATTCACAAACAATACAAACCCTCCCCCCCCACTCTCACTTTTTAGTATACAGGCATATAATTCATACAATTCAACCCCACACACACACTTCACTTCATAGTATTAATGTATTCTTTATACAATAAACAGTCATAGTTCTGAATAACTTTAAGCAGAATGCGATTATTTTTGTAATTGGACAATAAATTTATTTCCGCTGTGCACTGAAAACTAGACAGAAGATGAAGGTAACCTGCTCCGAAAGGTACTCCCTGAAGTTGCAACTGCAGTAGCAAAACATTAACTGTATTATAGTTCAACACCGATTTTAAGATAAGTTTAATTATTTATTGCCATTTTGTTATCTCTCTCTCTCTTTTTCTATCCTTCACTCTTCTTTGTAATAAAATGAATTCTCTAAATTACCTCATATATTTAGTATATATATAAGGAATGTCTTAAAATTTTTAAGAAATCTAATTAGTAAGCTTCTCATTAAATGTAAATAATCTTAGGGTCAGGGACGAAATTTTTTTTTTACTCCCCCCCCCCCCCCTAAAACTAAAGATATACTTCCTGTCTACTCTCCTATAAATGATATTCTAAACCTTAGGACTAAAATTATTCTAGAATCTACAATATTAACTCTCCTTAAGTGTAATATGATATGCAATAAAGTCCCCTAAAAGGGAGCTAGCTGAATATTTCCTGGAAGGGTCCAGACCCGTGTAATATTGTAGTAAATGCCATACTCTTAAATGTTCATCTCCCAATAGTAAATGTCATACTCTTAAATGTTCATTTCACAAACTGTATCAGTCTGGGCACAACCAGTTTGCCATCCCAGTCAACTAGGACACAGCCCACCTGGCTCTAAATATACCACAAAGGGCCACAAGCGTAGTTTACCAATCTAGCTGTACTCCGGCACTAAATGCCACACAGGGACACAAGTGTAGCTATAAAACAAGCTATTACTCCGGCACTAAATGCCACACAGGACACAGGGACAAAAGTGTAGCTATAAAACAAGCTATTACTTCGGCTCTAAATGCCACACAGGGACACAAGGTTAGCTATCAAACGAGCTATTACTTTGGCTCTAAATGCCACACAGGGACACAAGGTTAGCTATCAAACAAGCTATTACTTTGGCTCTAAATGCCACACAGGGACACAAGAGTAGCTATCAACAAGCTATTACTTCGGCCCTAATGTCACACAGGGACACAAGTATTGGCTATCTATAAAGCCCTTAATCGATCTCTACCCTAAACGAGGTATGATCTCAACCAATATACTCAACGAGGTACAATTACTCTACACAGTAATCAAAGCGGAGTTCTGATACTAACTATTCTATTTAAAAATATATTAGTAACATATTAAGTTCCAATATGCATTCACAATATTACGCAGGTATATAATCTAATCTCGATACGAAGCTATTTTAGTCGCATTACAAGTTTTACATAGTTAATGATTAATACAGTTAAATCCTCAGACAATGTACAACACATTTTAGATAGGTATGTTCAAACAGCATTTATTACAATAGAACTTATTTCATTTCATGAATTGTTTTTTTTTCATCATTACACTTCGTATATTGTCATTTAAAGCTAAGAATTTTGTGAACATAAAAGCAATAAAAAGAAGTATCTAATATCTGTTTTTTGTTTGTACGTCCGACCATAACTCACGCTTGGTTTTGAGATTCTAAGTTGAGTGGGTTGAATATCGTAATTTAAGACCAAGTGCAGGTAAACGGCATGAGTAACTATAATACCCTGGGCAACGCTGGTTCCAAAACTAGTTCTATTTATCTTTCAATGTTAAACAGAAAAGGGTTCAAACAAATAAAAATCAAGACGTATGAAGAAAAATTAAAAAAACAGTGTATTATCATTATTTTCCATTGATTAGTATTTAAACCAAAATGAAAAAATAATAATGAATAATGAACCATTAATTTGTTGAAGAATTTGAAAATGAATAAATTACAGAAATGATAGATATGTTATGTAATGAGTAATTATCGCCTATTTTCGCATAATTTTGCATATTTTTGTAAAACTATATATTATTTTCGTGAAAAGAACTGCAGACGTAGTTTTAAGTGACCTTCCAGCTTTAAACTAGCATCTAATCAAGTATTAATTAGATATCCATGTTCATAATTTTGAAAACTAATTATTTTCAATTACTAACGTAACTTTCGCATTTCTTAGTTGAGATTACGCATACAGTCCCTTTCAAAGAAGATATATTAAATCCTTTTATGTTGAGTATCTGTTAAGCATGCTGACCCATGGGTCAATTAACCTTTGTGAAGCAATGGCAAAGTTTCTAGGAAGAAATATGAACACATCTGTATTCGTGTCAAAAAAAACTCATATTTGTAATTTTCCATTATTAGTGTTTGATATTTATCTCCTCTCCAACAACGTAAAATTAGAATGAATTTATTAAAACGCTTAAGCAGTTAAGAACAATATTTCTTATCTTTTTTTGTTATAAGTGTGAAACAATCAAATGTCACTCAATCAAATTTTTTTTTAGAATTGTGCATTTTTAAAACTTTTCCTAGAAGCAAATGTGATAAACGCCCCACCAAAGTACATTGAATATCCGAGCTGGGCCAACCTTTGCAGTCCTACTTTGGACTGTACCTCGCCCCACCAGTGTACGTTTGAATATCCGAGCTGGGCCAACCTTTGCAGTCCTACTTTGGAATGTACCGCCAATTTACAATTACTAAAGCGGCAAAGGAGTGTGGATATTGATCTGAATAACTTTAAGCAGAATGCGATTATTTTTGTAATTGGACAATAAATTTATTTCCGCTGTGCACTGAAAACTAGACAGAAGATGAAGGTAATGCTTTTCCGATATTACTTGTACGACTTTCTCATCTCGTAGCTCCTATAGTTTTGATTTTACAAGAGACAAGCAATTATATTTGGTTACATAAAAGAATTTCAAACCATTTCAACAAGAGAAGATTTGATTGAAAACATATAAGATTTTAATAATACGCGCATTACTTTAGTTTGGATTGCGCTACCATACATGTACCCTGTATAATGTACAATACACTGTACATGCAGAAGAAGTAGAGTAAACATTATGTTATCTCACTGTTTGTAAGCAATAAAATCTAAATCATTTGTTAATTGACGTAAGTTTGATGTGTCACGATGACTGCAAAATTAGTAAATGTTGATTCGAAGAATAACAAAAAAATATTATTAAATATTACATAATTACACCTCCAGGATATTTGAATTTTTCCTTTTATCATTTTTAGTTGCGCTAACGTTTTTATAAAAGAATATCGGAGGTCCTTTTCACTTAGTTTCAGGGTTGGTAAATTTTAATCTAATCCATTTATTCGGACACTTCTAGTTTTTTAGGTTTTCATGAGATGTTATTAGTTGGTCTTCATACATACAGGGTTACCCACAAAGGATGACCCTTAAAAGACGACTTTAACTATGGTGATCTTGAAGGTTGAACTTGACTTTGTGCCTTTAAAATAGTAAATTATGATATAAAAAATTATTTGGCAAAGAACATAACAAGTTTACAATTGCATTGCAGTGCAGGAAGCCATAAATGAAAGAATAAAGGCAAAACGATTTCTGTACAGTCGTCTATAAAGTCTTATCCTTTGTGGTAAACCCTGTATGTACATGTACAATGTACATTAAACAACGTACATTATATTACTTGCCACACAATGTTTTCACAAAAATCAAGGAAAATAGTGTTTCTTCTCAAAATTGGTTAACATTAGTGTTGCATTAGTGTTGATGAGTGTACTAGTGTATAAGCTGGAAATAACAAGAGAAAAATAAAGAAAAGTATGTTGTTTACTTTCAAGGTTAACGAAGGATAAGTCAAGAGGGTGAACAAACATTTTGTGCACCCTTTCAGCAGATATTATGACCCCCCCCCCCCCCTCCTTAAAAACACCTTTAAAAGATAGATATGCTTAATTTCAGGTGCCAGAGATGACTAAGTTATGAGGGGAACCTATCCCTTTTTGGTGCACCCCCTTCAAAAACACTTTTTTGTGCCCTTTTTTACTTTCTTTAAGTATTGAAAAGGAGTGATTTTGAAGAAAACTTCTAAATAAGTTCATAATCAGATATTGTTCACTTTAAAGTCAAGTTTTCAAAACTTTGCCCCCCCCCCCCAACCTCCACCTCCTACCGTTTCAGTCTTATTTCTTTTCCGTTTGTGCAAAAGTTTATGTATATTTATGTCCAGCTATAACCTATCTTAATAAACAATAGAAAATGTTCTAGACTTATTTTAAGAAGATATGTATATTTTCTATATATTTTGTGTTTTGTAATATGTTTAGTTTTGTACAGTGACATGTACAATTTATGTACAGTGACATGTTCAATTTATGTACAGTGAAACGTACAATTTATGTACAGTGAAAAGTACAATTTATGTACATTGAAATGTACAATGTATAAACAGTGAAATGTACCATTTATTTACAGTGGTAGGTAGAGTTAAAGTGAAGTTTATGTAGACTGTAGGAGTTTATGTAAAGCTTATGTAAAGTTTAAGTAGAGTTTATGTAAAGCTTAGGTAACGTTTATGTAATGCTTAGGTAACGTTTGTGAGGAGTTTATGCAAAGCTTAGGTGAAATTTATGTAGAATTTAAGTAAAGTTTATCTACAGTTTATGTATAGAGGTTATATATAAAGCTTAGGTTGAGTTTCTGTATAGTTTAAGTATCAAGTTTTTAAGCTTAGATGAAGTTTCTGAAGAGCATAAGTAAAGTTTATGTAGAGTTTGAGTAAAGTTTATGTAGAACTTAGGTAACGTTTAAGTAAAGCTTAAATAAAGTTTATGTAGAGATTAGTTAAAGTTTATGTCAAGTTTATAGATGGACTGCAGAGCTTGAAAAGACAATATCGGACATTTTACGTTGTACAAACCTGTTGTCTTCCAATGTATCCGAGATTAGATTCAAATTCATTCCAGCAGAACAGGGTTCTCAAATCATCAACATTGTTTCTAAAATAATAATGGATTTTCTAATGCAGGTTTTCTACTCCCCAATCCAGGATTTCTACTTCCTAATCCAGAGTTTCTACTCCCTACACTAGGTTGTCTACTCCCTAAACCAGATTTTCTACATCAGAATCCAGGTTTTTTACTCCCTATACCAGGTTTTTTACTTCCTAAACCAGATTTTCTACTCCCTAAACGAGTTTTCTCTACTCCCTAAACCAGGCTTTCTACTCCCTATTACAGATTATCTACTTACTAAACAAGGTTTTGTACTCCCTAAACCAGGTTTTCTACTTCCTAAACCAGGTTTTCTACTCCCAAAACCAGAGATTCTACTCCCTAAACCAGGTTTTCTACTCTGAAAACCAGAGTTTCTACTCCCTAATCTAGGTTTTTTACTCCATAGCCCATCATTTTTTATCCAGAGACAACGTTTACCAACTAAAGATAAGAGCATGGTTTATTATCCAATAAACAAAGTTTTTTCCCAAAAAGATTGATTTCTATTGATGGGGGGGGGTCCAAAAATCGTATACTAGGAAATTACCAACATATAAATCAGTGAAGTTAATTGGCTGCATGCAAACATATCAATCCCAAATTTTTTTAGATATGCATATACAGCAGAACCAGAAATTAAAGTAATATTAAGAGTATTTGATGTTGTTACAAAGCAAACAGTTATACTAATAACTTAATTAAATCACTTTCTAAGATGGGGTCTGCAGTTTACACTGCACAACTGCTCTGTCTCGAATGCATGTTTATTGAACAATTTAAAAAGTCATAACTTGAATCATAAAAGTCGAGTTTCCATATTCCACAGTTTAATGGAATTCTTACATTATTCTACATTTTGAAACAGCATAGAAAGAGTATTTTAATCTGCAAATGATGTTAAAAGTTACAAACTGTGCATTATTGATTTAAAGTTACAACCTGCCGGACCTGCCTGCCGAGTGCCGACGCGTGTTGTGTATATAACATTAACCAGCTGATCCTTTCACATTTTATGGATTTAAACTAGAATAATGATGGAATATTTTGGGAAGAGCTTTGTTAATTTGGAATTTTATGTTTCCATGATGTACCTTGCATTTATCACCAAAAAGATGTTGAACTGCAAATAATAAAAATAATGCCTTTGATTCAATCAAATTGTAAACAATAACATCCTTTGAACCGCAAACAAAACTTCACTTTTGACAACAACAAAAAATTATGTTAAATATATTACCAACACTTAAAAAAAATACCATTTTATGTTGGTCTGTAGAAAGTATTCCAGCCTTTAACATACGGCTGGAACAATACTAATTACAAGAGCTGTGGGATTCAATTGGAGGCCATCCTCTCTCTCTCTCTCTCTCTCTCTCTCTCTCTCTCTCTCTCTCTGAGGTCCCAAGGGATTGATTGTTTTGGTAGAGCTCTGACGGCATCTATTCCGCTCTGCTTACTTACGTATAGGACCAGGGGTAGAATGCAACAATTCTGACAATATTAATATTTACAATTATATTAGTTATGTGACAATTTCAATTCATTTTTACTCTTCAGTCAAAAGTGAAAACATGATTTTTAAAAAAAAAAATGCTTACGTTTCAAGTCACTTTAAATTTGTGAAAGTTCAGATATGATATTTTTCAATTTTTCTCACAATGGAAGTTCTACCGGACCATCTACTTTTAAAGTAAGTTCAATTTAGCAATAGGTTAAATTTTGCTTTTCATGTGCAATTACTTGGTCCTAATAATTTTTGGTAATTTCCTAGAGAACGATTTTTGGACCCCCCCCCCCTCCCCCCTCCTCTCAATTTTGTACGGGTCTGACAAGAAGTGTCTTAACTTACCTAACCCGTGGCCGCAGCGCTCGGCCCCCTAGCCAATCCTAGCCGCAGCGCTCGGCCCAGAAAGTGTCTTAACCTAACCTAACCCTAAATAACAAAAAAATAAATAATAATAAATTTGCTAAGAAATAAATGGTCATGTACAAAATTGATAGGAGGGGGGGGGTCCAAAAATCGTTCACTTGGAGAGACCCTAATTTTTATATTCAAAAATAAATTTGGTGATTTTCTTTATAGAACGCTTTCTGGTCCAAAAATCCTTTTCTTAGACTGAATCACAGCAAATTAATCGTCATTTATTTAGAATTTGTGGGAAATTGAGGTTTGAAGATTTGAGGATCGTTTCAGTGATTAACTCCAGATTATCTAGGATATCCTTGGATCCATTACTTTGGGCCAGGTCAGTTAGTTTTATTAGGTTCAACCTTTTATTCTTTTCTTCTGAATTCATAATTGTCCTATAAAAAGGATAAACAATCTAAGAGCGATCGTGACAACACGTTTTTGTATCGTTTTCTGCACATCCTCTGTAGCTGGAAATAATTTGACTCAGTGTAAGAAAAGTAAATGTTTAAATTAAACAAATTTGAAAACACTTGCCTTTCTTGCACTATTACAAATGGTGACCATCACAAAAATTATAAATTATATGGAAAAGAAACTATTAAAAAAAAGAATGCACATCACTACTCCTACGCACTTTTTGACCAATTCAAATTGTTGTTCTTTTGAAACACTTTTTATATCGTGAGTAGGTATGTTGTAATTGAGTTACTGACCCCCCGTAGTCGTTAAAACACGTACCATGGAACCATTTGCTATTGACAGAATTAGATTATGTATGAATAATTCCAACAATAATAGAAAAAACATCAATTTAACTAGGACGGGATGGGCCGGATTTTATCTAAGAAAAAAATAAAATTAAACAAAAGACGAGAGAAAGTGGACCCAACATTTGAGAGAATTATTGTTAATATTAAAAAGAATTAGCTACATTGTGTTGTGTACGGATTGAATCTATTTAATGAATTATCCTGAAGTTTTGTGGATTTAGGTTCCCCGTTAGTTCTGATAGAATTCTGTCTAATATTCAAGAGTTTACAAGTATACGCAGGTTCAAGAAGCTTCGAAGGCTTGAGATAAGGTACGTGAACCATGGATGGGAAATTATTATCTAAAATTAAAAACTTAATAATGGCCTTATTGTATGTAAGCTTATTCTATACTCAATAAATAGCTCTAGAACATATAGAGCATATCATATCATATCAGGTTATAGGGATAAATTCTTTTCGTTCATACAATTTTAATTTCATTGTGATTATTTTTACAAAAGACGTGTTCTCTGAGTACTTTTATTTTCAGTTTATAAAAGTACTCAGAGAAAAACTCCTTGTCTAAAATATATGGATGATAGTAATTTTAGAAGTACTTAATACTCCCCCCAACAGGGTCTCATAGTACTCCCCCCAACAGGGTCTCACAAGATTTTATAAGAGGAACATCTTGTTTATTTATTCATTTGATTTCACAATAGTATTCACTGTTGGTAACACTCGAATAGGACTAATTTATCTGTTTTCATACTAAATCTACCCCCTGTACGCCTTTAACCATGTGCCAGTTTGTAACATATTTATTTCTGATATTTGTAAAAAAGCAAGCAAATCTATTCAAATAAGAAAAGTGATCAATAACATTTTGATTAAGTGCCTTAAGAAGAAGAGTTCTCAAACCTGAAGATATCTCAACTCTATTCTCCTATTTATCCGCAAATACCAATATCCAGTTTATCAGGTAGCTTTAATTTTATCCTAGAAGAGAGTAGAAAAGTTACTTGTAGACACGTTTCTAAATACAAAATATTTATTTTAAGAGGCAATAGACCCATACGTCTTAACATCCTTTTCTAGCGCCATTTTTATTGAACTGTTGCTTTTCAATTCGCCATTTTTCATCGTTCTCTGCTGTGAAAAAAGATTTTGCTAATTTTCTGTTGAAACAATGTTTTTTAAAATTGATAAATTTAATTTTTAGGATTTTTTCAAATTTGGTTATACATAAAAGTTACCGCAAAAAATGTGTGCCCAATAGGTTCAGCCGTTTTGACGTTTATTGGATACAAAAAAAAGCTGACTGTTTAGATGCCAGTTTTATTTTAGGTTTTCCAACTTGGATTTAAGTTCTGTTCCTGGATTTCCGTTCTCCCAAGCTCTGGTTTCCGTCTCTTCTCTCTCTTTACAGGGATGTGATTTAACCACGGAGCAGTGTATCGCTCTTCTCAGGTAGAAATATTCTAAGACGTATAAAAAAAATAGAATTAAAAAAGATCTTATATTTTTTTGTCTTATCTGTCTCTTAACAGTTCATAGTGTTTTAAGTGTTTTAGTGCTTTTTATGTAACAAATTCTTTGAGCTGACAGTGTTTGTTCTAGAAATTTTTAGTGCTGTTCAGTCTAACCCCGGAGAAACGGAGGAATTAGAGCTGAGCGACCTTAATCTGGAGACAATAAACCCTACTCTTATCTCTGAGTCAATCACTTGTCTGAAATCAGTAAACCTGAGGTAAAATTACAGAGCTCTTTTCAAAAAAGGACTAAAGAGAAAATTAAGAAATATCTTATCTAAAAACATGGTACTTGGGATTGCCGTTTAATTTGTCGGCCAGATGCACAATATACAAAATATACACTTGGAATTTTCATTATAACGGAACTTTACGAGAGTCCCTTTCATAGTTTCATTTAAAATCTTTTTGATTCTAGTAATGCGCTTCTGAGTGATGAAGGAAAAGAAACTCTGTTTTTTGCTCTTTGTTCTTCCGAGTCCAACCTCACAGAAACTTTAGGTAGATTTCGTTCTCCTTTTTCGCCTATTCCCTTATGCTGTTCAATCTTTATTTTTAATTTCTTTTTCTTGTAATTTTTTTTAATCATACAATTAAATAATTGTTTTACGTCAGTTTTTGGTTTAATCTTTCACTAAAATGATGCAATTTAAACGTATTTTTATCATTTATTTTTACTTTTATATTTATAAACATTGTAAACTTGTATTAGACTTATCCTGCATGAGTTTATCCTGCCTGGATCCGGTTTTATTGAGTGAAGGATTGCGTAAAATACGCAGAATACATTTACGCAACTGCTGGTTAACCATGCTTCAGATATGGGAAATATTGGATAGGTATAATTTAATTATATTTTTTTTTCTTTTTTTGAGTAATTAATTCAATCCGTGAGATATATCCTTTTCTTCCTATATTTAAAAAAATGTATTGCAATTGTAGATGTATAATTTTTCTGTTTGATAAACATTGAAAAATGTAAAATATATACTTTTCTCTGTAATTTATTTAATTATTTAATCTAATTTGTATAAAAACCAAGTGTCAATATTTTGAAAAAAACGTTCCGTGGGGGGGGGGGGGTGGTCAATGGGCATGATTTTTGGCGAAGAAATTTTTTTAATTGGTCTTCAACAAGCAAGTTTTTCTCCCATCCCCATTCATTTACAAATTTAAAACAGTATACAATATACGTCCCTTTAAATCAAGATCTTTGCAAGCCAATATTATATTAAGTTTGTATGAATCCAGTAATGAAGAACTCAACCTGTCTGGGAACGATTGCTCCGATATCACCTCATCCCAGCTTCTCGTCGCCTTAAACCATCTCAGGGTCCTAAACCTAACTGCAGCCAAGGTTGAGACGGATACAATACTCCAGGTTATGTCGGAGCCAAAACTTGTTCAGCGTGGAAGGATTGTGTTCAGCAGTTCTGACTTCCCCTCCAAAAATATACAATCAAGGTGAGGCAAAAAAAATTAAAAAATTGTACACATTGAGATAAGCGCTGAAAAGGTAAGAATTCGTTTACATCTTACTGAAAGGTATTTGGATACGTGATGGGAATACAATGATACATCTGGACTAAAAATGAATATGTCCAATTTTGTTGACATTGCCATCTATCTAGATCGTGTCTCCGTCTGTATCACGTGACAATGATACTGCACTGCCATAAGGTGGGAGTTCTGATCACGTGATACGGACGTAGAAATTATGTTATCAATTATATCTACTAAAAATGAAAAACTATTTAATTCAATTAATAATAGAAGGAAACCTAAGTTTTTCAGGCTCCTCTGGTATATCGTTGTTTTCAGATCGGTTGCGTATTTGCTGAATATGATCTTCTTAAACCTGCAATTTTAAAACAAAATTTTATATACTAGGCTTTTGAAGCGCCCATCTTCTATTTCAACTTTAAAATGTGGCTTTATCTGTGAGCATTTTCTCTTTGTACAGTATGAAACAAAAACAAAAAAATTGCGGATTTCATAATATTTTTTTCGTGCATTTTGAAAATTTTACAAAAATAAAAAACACAAGTTTTTAAAATTTTGATCATTCATAATCCTTCCCTGGGGTCACACAAAATTTAGGCCCGATCAGTTTAACCGTTTTGAAGTTTATTAGATACAAACAGACAGACAAGCTAAATTTATATACAGATATAAATTATAAATTTTCGTATTTTGACTTAGTTTTATCTCAATTTCTCGAGACAGGAACATCAGATAGAACTCAAATGGGTCTCGATTAACTGCTAAAATGCTTAGGGTTAAGTCTATACCCCATTTAATTTTTCCTTTGCAGTCCCTTTAAGATGAAGGGGAAGCTAGGGTAAAAATAAAAACATGGAAAAACAACTATGCCAAGTTTAAATGTTCTATTTATGTTTTCTATGTTTAGATTAAACTCCGTGTCCTGGATAGAGTTGAGAAGAGAGGAACTACCCTACTACCAGGACGAAACCAGCTGTGGATACGTAGTTGGAGAAGATGCTATCCAAACCTAGAATAAGAATTTAGCATTAACCTAGAATGAAAAAGCATTTTAAAAAAGTTATTCAACCGAAAAATATTTACATGTGATATTTTTGAGCTTAAAAACTAAGTATTTTTATATTACAGATTAAGATGGAACAGAAGGATAAGTTTGCTCTGCGCTGGGATAATTATGAGAAAACTATTGTTGAAGTTTTTCAGAAAATCCGCGGAGATCATCACTTTTATGATTGTACACTAGTATGCAACGGGATTAAGATAAATGCACACAGGTACCCCGAACAATCCGTTATTTTGATTTTTAGATTTTTAGAATTTTAGATAAAAAATATGCAAATGAAAAAATAATCCTGATTTCAGAGTGATCATTTCCTCATGCAGTCCAGTATTCAGAGATATGCTCAGGTTAGAAAAATTTTATAGCATTCTGATATTAAACAGAGGTGAATGCTGTTTTTTCTAACAAAGGATGTTCAAATTTAGNAAAAAAAAAAAAGTATTTTGTAAGGCTAACAGTTTTTCAAATTAAAGGTTTTCTTAAATTTTATAATCTTAATTTTAGAATTTCCTCTCATCCCCACCCTGTTCTTTACCTCCGGGGTGTCCGGCAGGAGGATTTGGAGTGGATCCTTGACTTCATGTACAACGGGGAGGTTCTCCTGGAGGAGTCGGAGCTAGAGGTTTTCCTGAAGATAGCCGAGGAACTCCAGGTACCCAGTTTTACAGGGTATTTTAATCATGGTTTCGTCAACTAAAATTAAGGAAACTCAATTACTTTTTCAACCCCCCAATTTTTGTCCCAGTTGCTTTTCAGTTGAGACAACAAAGTTAGTTTAAAAATTAAAGCATTTTTTATGTTGGCTGACCACACTTTTGTTCTTGCTCTTTAAGCGTTAATACTCCCGGCCATATGTAAAATCGTCTATAAGAAAAAGATTTTTTGTTTTTGTTTAAAAATGATGGTTATTTGGTGACGTGGCTTATAGCGGTCGCTAGAATACCTGGTCAATGGGTGAGGTAGGCCAATTTCGATATCACGTGATAAATAAAATCCCGCCCAAGTCTCAAAATATCCTACCTCAACCCTTGACTAGGTAAATATGTAGTTAATTCATTCTTTTATTGATTCTATTTCCTAGTTTATGTTAAATGATCGTTTCAGTGCATTTTGTTTTAGGTTCAAGGATTGTGCCAGGTCGGTAATGCAACCAGTTCCAGTTCTACAGTTAACCAGGACGTTCATGACATTCTAAGTGATCTGGAACAGCCGGATCAGAAAAGGATCAAACGGGACCCAGAGCTGAGCAAGAACGAAGAGAAGTCAAAGTATCGGAAAGCGATTCTTAGCACTTTTGGTCCAGGAGTTTCAGTCAGTGTAAAGAAGGAACCAAATTCTCATCCTCGGAAAGAATCTAACTCCACAGTTGCTAGTCTACAAGAGACCTTACTCCACTCTCCGGCAGGGTCAACCTCTAGCGAGCATACTCAACTACTTCGTTCATCTCCTCACTTTCCCCGCAAAGATCGAGTTCGAACACCACCCAGTACTCCGCTACGGCCTCCGAGTACTCCGGGTGGGGTGAAAAGATCCGCTCCAACGGATATAACATCTCCAGGTATACCTCCTCAGTCTCCAGTTTCAAACCGGCCTCAAACTCTGTTGTCTTCACTTCCTCCTGGTTTTTTGCAGATCCATAACAATACTGAATTGTCGCAGCCTCCGCAATTTCCTCAACAACCCTCCGTAATTCCGGATTCTCCATCAAACTCAGAAATTCCAGATTCTAGAACGATTCCGCTTTTACGGAATGTGGCTAGTCCGCCTGTGCTTCATATTCCAGAGACATTGGTTGAACAGGCTTCTCAACCTAGGAGTTTACCCAGTTCTGTACAGAGCAGTGTTCAGGGTGCTGTACATGGAAGTTCACATTCCAATGTACTGAATTATGTACAAAGCAGTGTATCAAATAATGTTCTCAGCGGTCTGCTTAATAGCATACCAAGTAATGTACAAAGTATTGACTTAAATAATGCACAAAACAGGTTACAGAGTGGTGATTACTTTAACAGAATTAATAATATTCAGTACAGTGTACATAACAGTACATCACGAAGTGTACATAATAGTGTGCAAAGTAGTTCACCTAACAGTATGTCACACAGTTCCTCCATTCCTTTTCAGATCCATGGTCCTCATCCTGCTGCTCGACCAGCTGAACCTTATGTAAGTTCCAACCTGCTAACTCAGAACATTACCTCGATCCTAGCAGGACATGCTGCCGCCCTACAGCGCCAGGAGCTTCAAAGATCCAACCCTGGTCGGGAAATCAGTCAGGCAGGCAACCTACAGCAATCTCCGGGGGCTCATGGCTTATCCGGAAGGAATCCTCAGCTGGGAGGTGTACATGGAGTACATGCTCAGATCGGACAACCACATGTAGCACAATCCGTCCCAGGCTCATCTGGTCAGGTCGTAATGATGGAAGACAGTCAAGGTAACAAGAGATTCATCAAAATCATTCGTAAAGTTCAAATTAATAAAACCTGATTTTCTGATCCGAATATAACCAAAATTATAACACGTCTAGTTTCATTCCTGGTTCATTTTTAGACAAGGAGTATGATGCACAGATTGAAGAGTATATAGAGAGAGAAGAGACCCCTTACGGACCAATCCTGAAATGCAAAGTGTGTCCGAAGAACGTTAAATTAAGAAACAAGCAAACTCTGATTTCTCACGTCGAGTCGACACACCTGTTGGCAACCATATCTTGCTCAAACTGCGACAAGACCTTTAAAGCAAGGAATTACCTGAAGCAGCACTTGAAGCGGGGGGTCTGCACTCAGAATATTGGAAATACCTAACTCTGTAGGGAGGGTTTGCAAAAACTGAAGTCTTTCTGTGATAGTCAAAGCAGTTAACAGTTGTTATTTTGTAACAAATCTTATCATGTCTAAAACTTTAAAAAATGTTCTCTTCACTTTATCCAATTTTTTTCTGTTGTTTAAGGAAAGACTGTATGACTTCCATATGAATGTGTTCTGTTTATATATTTTTTAACGTTGTATGAATAAAAGAATGTAAAGATATCAACCATCGAAAAGTATTTATATATTTTAATGTTGTTCAGGGTGTCTCAATAATTATGGGAAGCAAACGGCAGAGACCTCTTGAAAATCTTAGAGAAAAAAACAGATTTTTGATCAGTCCGCTTTGAGCCGTGAAAAGCCTGGAGCTGCCGATATAAGTGACCCTCCATACAAAGATGGCAATACCCGATTTACTAAGGTACCCTTAAAAACTTTGATAAAGTATGAATTAGTTTTTACATGTTGTATATTTACTGTTTATTTTTATTTTCATAAGTCAATTGCGCAATTCTTGCTTATAAGAAACAATGGGGTAAATATCCGAATCAAACACATTTCTACTTAGAAAAGGCGACGTAATCCTCCACATTGTTTATCAGATTAAGGTTTCAAGGGTAGCGTTGTGAATCGGGCATTACTATCTTTGGTTGGAGGGTCTTTTGAAATTAAGCTAACAGTCCCTTTAAGGAACAAAATTCTTGTAAATATTTAAAATTTACAATTAAAAGAGGAACATCTTTATTTTAATTATTTTATTTCACTTTATCAGTCACAGTGGTAAGACTAGAATAGGACGAATAGGTCCAACGCTAGTGTTCAGCTGTTTTCATACTAAAGTAACTCTTAAATTAATTCACTCGTCTCAGAAATATGCATAGTGAATACTAATATAAGACTATCTATCTCGCCCTAACAGGACAACTGGGAAAATAATCGATGCACTACTTGAGATTTTCTGTATTTCTTTTATCTATCTTCTATCTAGAAATTACAAGAATATTGGTCGTTTGAACAATTTCGGCTATAATTGATCAAATACAATAGTTGCTTCAATATCATACCCTTTGTAAAAAAAAATATTTAAATTTCTCCTTGATGGCCATTTGTCTTAAATAGTTCATAATATGAATCAAGTAAAGCTGTAAGCATATATGGTTACCCACAGGGGATGAGATTTCAGAGACGACAGTGCAGAATTTAGTTTAGTCTTGTTTCATATATTTGTAATTGCAAAATTCCTATAAACGCCCTTGGTTGCGATACTTCAAAATCGACGCGATCAATAACTTTGATGCATGGCTGTATAGTGTATAGTAAGGGTGATCGATTTTTGCCATTGCACTCCCCTCTATGTGCATTAGAAAAGGCGATTTTTTCGCAATTTGAAATTGCCAATCGGAAATCGGTGTTCATGAAATTTAAGGTTGAAATTCCCTAATGCAAGCGAAAAAAAATTCCGTTGATAATTTAAAAAGTTATTGGCAAAAAAACTGATGTTTTAGATAAATAAAATAGCTGAGTTTTTTGGCCATATGTCAATCAATTTTGGAAATATTGAAACAAAAACAACGGGACAGTATTCACCGGTTCCAGACGCATCTTTTGATAACAATTTTGATGTTTTGAAGGAAAAAATGCTAAATGTCAATTGCGGTCACGGTTTTTAGACATATAAGCCTGAAATTCGGCATTAACTCTTAGTTTTTATTGGCACATGACATCAATGGTAGTCCAATTCTAAGAAGTCAAAAAATCGATCACCCTTACTATCTAGATTTTAGGTGCCATTGTATCTGTTCTTAACTTTAATAAATTTATATAGATACTAAGGGAGGTCGATTTTCAAAAAATATTTCGAAAACCTGATTGCTTCAACCGGATTTGTTTATGGGGCTTAAAACTTTTAAGAAAAAGAAAGAAAAAATTCTGTAAAATCAATTTTAACGAATTTGACTTTAAAGAAAAATATATTAAAAAAAATATTAGTAAAAAAAAGTTGTGAGAAAAAACGTTTTAATATCAAATATGTATACTATTCTGGGTGCAGCAAGCGCAATTTTAATATCAAATATGTATGCTATTCTGGGTGCAGGAAGTGCAATTTTAATATGAAATATTATACTATTCTGGGTGAAGCAAGTGCAATTTTAATATCAAATGTATATCCTATTCTGGGCACAGAAAGTGCGATTTTAATATATGTATGCTATTCTGGGTGCAGGAAGTGCAATTTTAATATGAAATATTATACTATTCTGGGTGAAGCAAGTGCAATTTTAATATCAAATATATATCCTATTCTGGGCACAGAAAGTGCGATTTTAATATGATATGTATCCTATTCTAGGTGCAGCAAGTGCAATTTTAATATGAAATATGTATCTTATTCTAGGTGCAGAGTGCAATTTTAATATGAAATATGTATTTTATTCTAGGTGCAGCAAGTGCAATTTTAATATCAAATGTATATCCTATTCTGGGTGAAGCAAGTGCAATTTTAATATGAAATATGTATCCTATTCTAGGTGCAGCAAGTGCAATTTTAATATCAAATGTATATCCTATTCTGGGTGAAGCAAGTGCAATTTTAATATCAAATATGTATCCTATTCTGGGTGAAGCAAGTGCAATTTTAATATGAAATATGTATCCTATTCTAGGTGCAGCAAGTGCAATTTTAATATCAAATGTATATCCTATTCTGGGTGAAGCAAGTGCAATTTTAATATCAAATATGTATCTTATTCTGGGTGAAGAAAGTGCAATTTTAATATCAAATATGTATCTTATTCTAGGTGCAGCAAGTGCAATTTTAATATCAAATGTATATCCTATTCTGGGTTAAGCAAGTGCAATTTTAATATCAAACATGTATCTTATTCTGGGTGAAGAAAGTGCAATTTTAATATGAAATATGTATCCTATTCTAGGTGCAGCAAGTGCAATTTTAATATCAAATGTATATCCTATTCTGGGTGCAGCAAATGCAATTTTAATATGAAATATATATCCTATACTGGGTGCAGCAAGTGCAATTTTAATATGAAATATATATGCTATTCTGGGTGCAGTGCAATACATGTACGTCCAATATTCAGGGGGTTTCCCATGGAATATGAGAACTCTTTTGGTACCGACACACAATATGACTACAGTCAAGGAAATTGCAGAACAATGTTGTCAATTATAATTAAGCTTGAATAACAAGTAGTTTATTGTAAACTTTAATCAAATTATATTCTTTTGCATAAAAAGTTGGCTTTAAGTGTTGACTTAAATATATAAATAATATATTGCATGTATATTAAACTCATTTTTAAGTAAACAATTAACAATGAACCATTGTACTCTCCTAGATTCTTATGTACTGTATATACCTTTAACGCCTTACACACTCTTTTAGTACAGACACATACATGACGTTTACGCACCCTGGGGTTTCCGTATAAAAAGTGAAAAATACAATAAAAATCAGTTTTCTCAATTCCGTTATTTCCACATTTACATACATAACATCTAGTATGAAAAATATTTTATCTATTTATTTTTGAATGCTTTGTTAAGATGTCTGCATACATAACTTTAACAATTATAACAAAAACAATATTAATGTCAATCAGTTAATACTAGATGGAATCATACCATACATTTAGTAAGTATATATCTTCAGAACCCTAGCTAGAGGCTAGGCTATAATGCAAGGAAAGTTATTTCAGAGGTGTACTGTCTCTGGGCGGTAATGTAAACACAAGACGGATGTCTCAGCCTGACATGGGGTCTATCTTTCACATAAAAAAAACCAATGAAATAATCTGGTCATAGGAAACTATTATGAGAATTATCCAAATTTTCAAAGTTGAATGCTTTTATTCTCCTCGGATACCCAACGAGCACTAATGCATGCATCTATACTTGTTTACAAATTCCGCCCAGAGAGAACTGGTTTCGATATGTACGCAGAGTATACGCTGTTGCAATTAAATTTCCTTGCATTGTAACCTTGGCTAGAGGTTGATTGAGATGTTTAATTTCAGTTCTAAGGACTTCAGATGTAATTTCATGTGACCCTCCTTTACATAAGTGGCATGTTCTATTCACAACGATACCCTCTAATATTAAAAGTTTCCTTCTCAGTCTCTGCAGTAACAGCTCGCGAGTAGCTTTTTTGAGAAAGTCCATTTTCAGATAAAAAGTAAGTTTATCTCATTCCTCCTCGATCATGATCAGACAAAGTGTTGAGTATTGTTGTAAATCTGATATACCACTCTATAAATTGGCTTACTTGAAATTACACCTAATTTATTGCATATTTTCGAGGGTTTTCATAAATACTTTTGTATAAAGACATAAATAATTTTTAAGTTGATGTGAATTTTTCCTAATTCCAGAGGGATGGGGATTTTAAAAAATATGCTTCTAAGATAAGAACCAAGGTAGAATGTTGATATGAATTACATTAACATCGTCTACTATTAAATGTATACAAATACAATCTGTGTATAGGGTCGCTATATTCTCAGTTACTGACTATATTGAGGTTAATACTTAATCAACCTGTACTGAAGAGTTTCGTCGATTTTGATTTTGAACCCAAAAAAAGAACCGACTGTGTTTCTGGACATATTGACGATTATACAACACTTTAAACATTTATAAACAATTATAATCTAATCATGAGCCTCTTTCCCTTTTTTGCAGTGCTTAAAATCTAGACTTCTTCATGAATCCGGATCCAAGGCATAAAATCAACCCAAATAATCAGAAAAACTTAACATTGAATTTGACAAGTCCTCCTGATAATCTCTGGATGTATTTAGATCCACATCAGAATTAAAAATATATGACCAAAAGCTCAGAACAAAAAAATATTTGTTTTAATTGCAGTCCGGATTCATTTTTCATAGGACGGATAAGCATCAAAACCGAACGGATCCTATGGCACAGACTTTGATTCATTGTTATTGTTTAGTTTTTCTTAAACATTCCTAACGAAAACCCCCCCTTTTTTGTGGCAAAATTAAAAGAAATAATCTTAAATTTTTGATGATGGCACAAGGTGAATTCAATACTCCGCCCAACCTTTGATTTTTTTCTTTAACAATTAGTTGTGGGAAAAAGCATCCTGCAGTTTTTAGGCGTAAGTTAGACCTGACAACAACACTGGTTTATATCACGAACTACAACGATGTCAAGGTCTACAAATTATCACTCTTTCCGCTGCTTGAATAAAACGTTTTGTCCCGTTCGTTCAGACTCCGGTAGGTCGGATGCTGTCTCCTGCTAGCATCAAAGTTCGAGGTTCGATCCGTACTACTAGAGGTCCGAAACTTTCGGAAACTCAGCGGAGATGAAAGAGTCCAGGAGGAAAATTTCAGGGACGGAAGAAAGTTTCGGGACTCCCTGGACGTATCCCGACCCCTTGTTTGCTCCGGAACCGGAGGATATTTACGAGCGCTTTGCAAGTCCCGGCTCCGGTCTACAGTGCGCGTGGCTTCACCTCTCTCCGACCATTGTTGGGTTTCGGGAGATAGATCGGTTTTTCGAGAACTTTCTAATTTTCGAGCACTTGAAGATGAATCGGAGTAATCGTATTTTCTGCTTCCTTTAGGAGTATACTCGCGAGAAGACTCGTAATTCTCATATGAATACTTGCGTGGTGAACTATGGGAGTAATCGCGCGGAGAATTAGTCTCTAAGTGTGAGTCGTAGCGTTTTGAAGTTGGTGATTTTAACTGTGAGGGATAGTCGTCATGAGATCTAGAGTTCAAGTAGGTTGGCCGGGAGAGGTAGGATGAGGCTGCGGATCCATGATAGGAGGACGTATGGCTGTTTCTGCTCAAGGAACCGTTCAGGTTCAACCTTCCACCCTCCAGGTTGGTAGAACGTGTTTCGTATCTACTTCCTCCTCCTCCAGGACTGCTATATTCGTAGGATTTCATAGATAACTCCTGGAGACGGGGATTATCATACCGTGGTGATGTTGGTTCATTGTACCTAGACGCATAGTCTTCCTTCCTAGGCGATAGAGTTGGTTTCTGTAAATTTAGCTCTGAAGGGAGGGGATCTTGGTTGGTTGTGTAAAACTTCAACCTGGAGAAATCATGACTGGTGGTGTTAGATGTGGGTTTATGCTCCTCCGAGCTGGTGAACTGATTCTGCTGCATTCTCCAGGACTTGACCATCCTAGGACTAGGTTGAGGTTTGAAGGTTTGTGTCTCATGCCTCTGTTCGAGGGAGGATTTTCGTATTCCTAGCGCAGCTTTCATTGCGAGATGCTCCGCAGCCTTGTTAGGATCTCCTGAATGATTGGCAACCTTGTAATACCAGGCTCCAACATCAACATCCTTATCCCTGTACTTGAGGATGAAGGGATGTTCCAGCAGCTTCTTGTACTTCGGTCGATCCTTGTGGTTCTTGAGCAAGCAATCATGAACAAATTGTCGGAATTCTGGTGAATAGTCTAGCGGTAGACTGGGAGGATCGTCTTGAATCACTTTTGTTAGAACCTCGAATTCTGTTTTACAGTCTTTATACGGGAAATGTCCAGTTGCTAGCTCTACTAAGGTAATCCCTAAGCTCCACACATCGGCCCGGATGTCGTAATCCGGTTTACTAGGATTTGGCGGATTAATTCTCTCTGGCGCCATATAAGCGGCACACCCGGCGCTACGGGTCTTAGCCTTGGAGTCAACCAAACGACCTGAAATTATAAAAAAAAGTTAGATTTAATAATTAGGAACTCAGCGTTTTTGGGCTGTTTTCTATTGAAAAAGAAATATTTTTGATCAATTGAAACCCAAGAGAAGGTTTAACGAAATGTTTGCGTTGTAATGCAGAAATTTTAAAATAGTGTAACATCATCATCAAGGATTCAATTTTTGGGACTGTTCTTTTCTTCAAAACAAATATTTTTTTTAAAATTGAAGCTCAAACGAAAGTTAAAGAATGATTGCGTTGAAATTTATAAAATAGAATTAACCCTCCTGGGCAAAAAATTTTCAAATCCAGATTGTTTTTTTTTGTCAAATATAATTTTCCCCTTAGAGTTCAGATAGGGGAGTGTAATAGCGTCACAGGTATTTACTATGTTTGTACTCAAAGATCTTTTATTTTTTCCGATGAAAGTTTTATTAATTGATAAATATTAATGATCAAAACCGATCTTTGAGTTTTCTCTCAACTGTGCATAGAGCCTAGAACCATAGACGACAACCAAGCAAATGCATCTCACCCTGGTTAATCTGAGGGTGCCCCGCCCCTTGCCCCGCCCCCAGTATTTTCTATGTCCTTTCTCAGACTAAATCTGACCTATCTATTTAGGCTATGATAAACCTAGCTATGTTGGACTAGGATTAACCTATCTATGTATCTTGTGTTTTGACGGGCGGATTTTTGGTAATGTCAATTTGGTAATGAAAATTTGGTAATGACAATTTGGTAATGACAATTTGGTAATGTCAATTTGGTAATGACAATTTGGTAATGAAAATTTGGTAATGACAATTTGGTAATGACAATTTGGTAAGGTGACAATTTGGTAACGACAATTTGGTAATGACAATTTGGTAAGCTCACAAAAGTGACAATTTGGTAAGGAAAAATTGGTAACGACAATTTGGTAATGACAATTTGGTAAGCTCACAAAAGTGACAATTTGGTAATAACAAATTGGTAACGCCATAAAAGTGACAATTTGGTAATGACAATATGGTAACTACAAAAAATTGACAATTTGGTAATAACAGTTTGGTAACTACAAAAAAGTGACAATTTGTTGATAAAAGTTAAATTTAATTCAATTTAATGTTTAATAATTTGCTGTTTCGCACATTATTTAGGGTTAGGTTAGGTTAAGACAATTTCTGGGCCGAGCGCTGCGGCTAGGATGGGTTTGGGGGCCGAGCGCTGCGGGCTATTAAATGTTAAATGATGTGCTGTTTCTCACATTATTTTGGGTTAGGTTAGGTTAAGACAATTTCTGGGCCGAGCGCTGCGGCTAGGATGGGCTAGGGGCCAAGCACTGCATCCTCTTAAATGTTAAATGTTGATTATAAAAGGGATAGTTTGGTAACTACATATAAAAAGTAACATTAGTAACTTCCTAACATTGACATACATAAAGTCCGTTCTTGATGTAGTATTTAAATCCTTCTGAATTTTGTAACATTTTGCCACCCCTAGAAGGGGTGATGAATAAGTAATTCATGATCCAAGTCTCCTCTTCTTGCAGTATATGACACAAGTGCAGGTTGAAACGTGGTTTTTAGAAAATGTTGCGAATTTTACAATTATTTTTGGCGCATTTCTTTTAATGCAGAAATAAAAGATTCCTAGAATGAATTATCTTCAATTGAATATAAAACTAAAAATTAAACAATTTTACATAATGTCACTTTTATTTCGTTTACCAAATTGTCACTTTAATGACGTTACCAAACTTTTATTACCAAATTGTCACTTTTTTGTTGTTACCAATTTATCATTACCAAATTGTCACTTTTGTGGGCTTACCAAATTGTCCTTACCAAATTGTCGTTACCAAATTGTCACCTTACCAAATTGTCATTACCAAATTGTCATTACCAAATTGTCATTACCAAATTGACATTACCAAAAAACCACCCATCTGTGTTTTATGTTGGACTAGGATTAACCTATCTATGTATCTTGTGTTCTATGTTGGACTAGGATTAACCTATCTATGTCTATGTTTGTGTTCTATGTTAGACTAGGATTAACTTATCTATGTATCTTGTGTTCTATGTTAAACTAGGATTAACCTATCTATGTATCTTGTGTTTTATGTTGGACTAGAATTAACTTATCTATGTATCTTGTGTTCTATGTTAAACTAGGATTAACCTGTCTATGTCTAGGTTTGTGTTCTATGTAAGACTAGGATTAACCTATCTATGTGTCTTGTGTTCTATGTTGGACTAGGATTAACCTATCTATGTCTATGTTTGTGTTCTATGTTAGACTAGAATTAACTTATCTATGTATCTTGTGTTCTATGTTAAACTAGGATTAACCTGTCTATGTCTAGGTTTGTGTTCTATGTAAGACTAGTCTAACTTTTCAAGACCAGGTCATAAAAAATTATTATGGAAGGGAGGTTTTTAAATAAATTCACATAGTATGATTGAAAAATGTTGAAAAATATTTATTTTTACCTATGACAAATATTAAAATGTGCGACACATGTTATTACGTACATTTTTCTAGTCAATTTTATATCTATACTTAAATCAAAAAGTGCTAAACACCGACCAGCTGTTTGATCGTCATCCACCCTGCCCATAACCCCCCCCCCCTCCCCCAATCGTGTGTGGGTACCTGTTTGAACTACCGCTGTCTGAACTATTGTCCGTTTGAACTATTGTTCATTTAAACTACTGATATGACGTCATATCCAGTAGTTCAAATCAAAACGATACTTGGTCATTTGAACTGTTTTCTTAGTATACAGTAGGTTTTATTTAGGGATTTCATGAAGTTTATAGGTCAAACAATTAAAGATAGTTTTAAAAAACAAAGAAATATTCAAAATGGAAATAAAAAATTAGATCAAATGAACATAAAAAATAGTTCAAATGAACAAAAAATAGTTCAGATGAAATTGTGGAAAAACTTTAAAATAGATCAAATGTGGGGAAAGGTTAGGTTAAGACATCTTCTGGGCCGAGCACTGAGGCTAGGGGTCCGAGCGCTGCGGCCACATTTATCAAGTTGATAAAGTGATTGCCGATATGTGGGGTTAGGTTAGGTTAAGACAATTTCTGGGCCGAGCCGTGGCTATGAGGTTAAATGACATAAATTTGTTTTAGTTCCTGTATAAAACTATATCTCATGTTTATTTGAATTTTTAAAAAAAATTATTTTCATTTGAATTAAATTTGTTTGTTCATTTGAACTATTTTATGTTCATTTAAACCGTTATTTCGTTTATTAGAACTATTTTCTGTTCACTTGAACTTTTTTTTGTTCCTTTGATTGAACAATTTTTTTTGTTCCTTTGCACAATTTTTTTTGTTCATATAACCTTTTTTATGTTCATTGGAACTATTTTTTGGGGTTGATTTGAACTATTTTTTGTTCACTTGAACTATTTTTGTGTTCATTTGTACTATTTTTAAGGGTCATTTGAACCTTTATGCTGAAATAGTTCAAATCAACAAAAAAATAGTTCATAAAAAGAATAAATTAGGGAAGAGGGAATAGTTTGATTAGTTGGGTTGGGAGAGCAAGGCAATGGAAGCTTTAAATCTCTTTCTCTATAATAACCTCCCAACAAAAATCTATATTTACATAAAGATAGTAACCAAATATATACCCCTGGACTGAAAAAGGAATCCATTTTTGCCACTCAAAATTGTAAGCAAAATTATTAGTTGCGGCTACTTTTATTGTGCACACATCTTTCGGGATCTTTGAATATATTAAAAATAAATCTCTAGAAATGATGTCTCATAGGTTGTGGAGTTTAGGGAAGAAAATAAAAGGGGGTAAGGGACCTGGAAACTAAAAACGTGAAATCCTGTACACAATTAAGAGATTGCAAACTCATCAAAATTTACCTGAAATTCCAAAATCACAGAGTTTCACATTTCCCTCGTAATCGAGAAGAATATTGGAAGGTTTAACGTCTCTATGGATCACACCATGGGAATCCTGGTGCAAAAGCAAATCAAAAATTTGAAAATAAGAATTTTAAAATCAAAATAATTAGAAATTTAAAAACATCTTAAACGTGACCGGTTAAATTCCAGTCGTTGACAAAACTTCTTGTTAAATTTAGTATTTTATAAATTTTAATTTGCGCATTCCTTGAGATAATTTAATGCATTGAGCGTTGAAACAGCCACCTTCCCGCAAATATGTTCAGGTACCCCCGTCTTTATCTGCTTTAGCAACTTATCAAAGCAGGTTGCCATCAACTCCATACAGATCCATACATCACTGATCGTTATAAAACAGCCTAGGCAGACAACAATCTCTTTACAGTCATGGGATTTAAGTACCACGTCCATGTCCATGACGATTCTCTTCGTCTCCTCGGAGTTTCCCGTTCGGCGCATTTGCTTACATGCAATTATCTTCCCCGTCTCTTTATGTTTCATCATGACGACATTTCCACACGTTCCGTTCCCAAGATCTCCTTTAGGTTCTAAGTCTGTAATCGGAGTTTTGTATTTCTTCCCGTCTATTGTTAGTACTCCAGTGAGTTTCATGATATCCTCGAGTTTTCGTTCATATTCGTCCCGGGATTGTTGCGGGAAACTGTCAAATTTTAATCTTGCTCTCGACAGTGGTTCGTTTAGATTAACTGAGGTAGGATTTTGTCTCCTAGTAAGAGGAGATGTTAGTCCTATATTGGATGGTAGTCCGACTAGTGAAGGACGGGGACGAACAGGACGGGCAGAGAGGGAGCCCCCTGGACTTGGAGTAGGACTGAATGCTCCAGATTCGTCGGCCGACGGAAATTTCAGCTGTTTCATCCTCGCCTTGAGGTCGTCTGTACTAGATCCCATACTTAGAAAAAGATTAAGGTTCAGGGTTCAGGTCACCATTGGTAACTTATTATCAAGGTTCAGATTTAACACTATGATAATCTTAAACAATCCGAAATTTATTCTGAAAAATATAACAATAAAAGACAAAAAGGATAAATTAGGCAGAATAATATTTTACCAATTAATTAAAACCTTGATATTTATAATTTGATTAATTTATATTAAACACACTTAAAATTCACTTTATCAAATTTAAAAGAATGATTAAGGATAGTTTTTGACAGAATTGAGAGAGGAGAGAAGAGTTTACTTTTACAATATATTGCAGTAAGATCTATGTCAGCTGTATTTTCTTGAGCTTCGCGGAATATTTTCTCTGCTTTTCATCTTAGACAAATAGATAGATAGATAGACAGATGAAAAGATAGAAGATCGAAGATATGTAGATAAATGATAAAAAAGAATACAAATATAAGGTGAATTTTAGTCAAGAAATGAAAAATATCACAACTTTTGTTTTAAACTAAATAACTTTTGTAATGATATAAAAATTTAATAATTGAATAAATTCGTTTGGCTTCTTTTCTTCCTTTCCTAAATCATATATTTGTGAGCGACATTAAAATGTATTTTTCAAAAATACATAACAAAACTTCTAAAAATCCTAAATCACCTCGCAATGAATTCTTAAATGATCATAAAATATTTATTTTGCCTGTATTTTGTATGAAAAACGGTCCGGTGAAATATTTAATATTTTTGGATGACTGTAAAATATTTGTGAGCTAAATCCTAGGTACGTTGCATTCCACCCCATACAGATATGCCGGCTAGCCGAGAAATCAAACAACAACAGAATTCACGCAGAATTGTTCGAAGTTAAACCCCTCTGGTATTTTTGTGAAAAAGTGACGATTTGTGAAGTGAATTCCACCTTGAACTTAAACTCAACATTTCTATCGACTTTTAAAAAGTTTAGACCATTTACATTCGTAAATATTGCCATTTTTGAAAAGTTGAAACTAAGCCAGAATTGGAATTACTTGATTTCTTTACAATCAGTTTTCAGCGATGTGCGAATATATCTTGTATATACCCATGTTGATCGACAAGATATTAAAGACTGTTGGGATATTTATTTCAACAAAACTGGTGTTTTTAATTAGCCAAATTCTCCCAAAATGGGTTCAATGATAAATGGACAGAATGATAGAGTTCCGGGTAATTTCCTAGAACAATTTTTGGACCCTCCCTCTGCCCCCCCCCTCCCCTCCTGTGAATTTCTTACATACATCTCTTATTTAACACA